ATTTGTGTCTCTTTTTCTGTCTTGCATATAGGGTTATCATTGCCATCTTTCTAAATTCCATATTTGTGTGTTAGTATACTGTATTGGTGTTTTATCTTTCTGGCTTACTTCACTCGTATAATGGGCTCCAGTTTCATCCATCTCATTAGAACTGACTCAAATGATTTCTTTTTAATGGCTGAGTAATATTCCATGGTGTATATGTAACACAGCTTTCTTATCCATTTGTCTGCTGATGGGCATCTAGGTTGCTTCCATGTCCTGGCTATTATAAACAGTGCTGCGATGAACATTGGGGTACACGTGTCTCTTTCAGATCTGGTTTCCTTGGTGTGTATGCCCAGGAGTGGGATTGCTGGGTCATATGGCAGTTCTATTTCCAGTTTTTTAAGGAATCTCCACACTGTTCTCCATAGTGGCTGTACTAGTTTGCATTCCCACCAACAGTGTAAGAGGGTTCCCTTTTCTCCACACCCTCTCCAGCATTTATTGCTTGTAGACTTTTGGACAGCAGCCATCCTGACTGGCGTGTAATGGCACATCATTGAGGTTTTGATTTGCATTTCTCTGATAATGAGTGATGTTGAGCATCTTTTCATGTGTTTGTTAGCCATCCGTATGTCTTCTTTGGAGAAATGTCTGTTTAGTTCTTTGGCCCATTTTTTGATTGGGTCATTTATTTTTCTGGAATTGAGCTTCAGGAGTTGCTTGTATATTTTTGAGATTAATCCTTTGTCTGTTTCTTCATTTGCTATTATTTTCTCCCATTCTGAAGGCTGTCTTTTCACCTTGCTTATAGTTTCCTTTGTTGTGCAAAAGCTTTTAAGTTTAATTAGGTCCCATCTGTTTATTTTTGCTTTTATTTCCAATATTCTGGGAGGTGGGTCATAGGGGATGTTGCTGTGATTTATGTCGGAGAGTGTTTTGCCTATGTTCTCCTCTAGGAGTTTTATAGTTTCTGGTCTTACATTTAGATCTTTAATCCATTTTGAGTTTATTTTTGTGTATGGTGCCAACACTGTCTTCTAAGAAGACTTAAAAACACGGGAATCAAGTTTTTATATGTACATATATACTTACCATTTTTGATGTTCTTTGTGTGTATCCATCCAGACTTCTAATACTATTTTCATCTAACCCAAGGACTTCCCTTAACATTTCTGGCACTGGATATCTGCTTGTGATGGATTCTTTCAGCTTTTCTATGTCTCAAGAAATATTTCACTTTCATTTTTGAAAAATAATGTAGCTAGGTTTAGAATTCTAAGTTGAAAGCTTTTTTTCCCCTTTTTGTTCAGTAAGGATATTGCTCCGCTTTTAGCTTGTGTACTTCTGATGAACACCCACTGCCATTCTAGTTTTTCTCTGTACATAATGTGTCCTTTCTGAAATCTGTCAAGTTTTTCCCTTTATCATTGATGTTTAGCAATTTGATTATATGTGTTAACAAATTTTCTTTTGCTTGTGGTTTGTTGATTTCCTTAGGTCTGTGGATTGACCATCCCATTTGGAGAAATTTCAGTCATTATTTAAATAAATTGGTCATGAAGTGAGGGTAGAAACTTGCTTCTGGGTTTATCCAATAAACATGGGCGGGCAAATAGCAGTAGCTTTGGACTCTGGCAGATGAGTTCAATCCTGGACTGCCCATCACTGTAGAACCTCGGGTGAATCTCACCTGTAATACAGTGGCAATTCCAGTATCTACTTTTAAAGGATCACTGTGAGTGAACAGTTGTTACTCTAAGTACTCAGGAATGGTGGTTAGCAACTACACGCCAGCATTCCCTTGATGACCTAGTTCTCCTTCTCCTAAGATCTTCATGTTTCAATTGCTCTTTTAAGTCCTCCATTTCAGCTGTTAACACTGGCAGCGGCGTACATGCAAAGATGGCAAGCAATGTAGATGTCAAAGACTCAGTTCTGAGTGAATTGCCTTAAAGTGTGAGTGATACCAATTGGGATGTTCTCTACATCTCACATTTGGTAGTCAAGTAGAGTTACGTGCTCCATGGATCTGACCATCACTGTCCACTCATCTCATATTTCTAACAGGGTGGGCTCAATAAGGACTCAATTTCTTGTTCTCCAATCCACTTGTAAACCCATGGACAGTAGGCACTCGTCAAGCAGACTGTGGGCCCAGGCCCTGTGCTAGGTTTCATGTAGAAATTTTAATCCTAATCTGAATTCTTCTTGCATATATTTAAACCAGCAGTTTGAGTTTTGTGTTTGATTATTTCTGGCTGTGCTGAGTCTTTATTGCTGCACATGGGCTTTCTCTAGTTTTGGTGAGTGGGGGCTACTCTGTTGCGGTGTGTAGGCTTTCATGTTGTACAGCAAGGGCTCTAGGCATGCAGGTGTAGTGATTGCAGAGCATGGGCTTAGTTGCCCCAAGGCACGTGGGATCCTCCAGGAGCAGGGATGGAACCCGTGTACACTACATTGGCAGGTGGATTCTTACCACTGAACCCAGCAAATCTGAATTTTTAGTCACATTGATCAGCCAGGGTTTTCCCTTCAAAGGCAGCTTTTTCTGCTTTTTTCCTCTTTTCTTAGAATGAACAGAACAAAGAGTAGTTATC